TTATCTAAATTCAACGAGTTACTCTGCTTTGGAATGAAGCATTCTTTTTTCTCTTAAAAATTTTGTACTTAGAAAAGTGTGTATTTAAATAAGTAAAATCAAGTTTAAAGGACTGTAAATTTTATACAGATAAGATATCATTTAAATATGTATAGTCAAATTACGTTTAAAGTCTATAATTTCCAAAATGGATTTTAATGTCCATATATAATTATTTTGATATATACATTAAAAAATAAAAGAAAAATAGGTTTACTCAGAAAATTTTCTTTTTTCTAATTACTTTTTATGAAATAATGAAAAATATCTTTAATTTCACATTATCTAAATAAAATGTAAATTACAAGGTTAGTACGATTACTTTACCCTTTTTTTAAGAGGATTGAGATTTAAAAAAAATGTGACAGAGTATCCTACAATGGTAAGTATATATTTATTTCACCCATGAGCTCATGTCGGTTACTTGAAAAGAAAAAGCATAGTAAATAAACGACACCAACACGGAGGTGATCAACGTGGTTGTAGTTTCTCCTTAAATCATGTTTGAAAGTAAAAATTCTCTTTTTTTTTTCAGAGATGTATGTAGAGAGTAATATATTTTTATATTTTGAGGAATGTAAGGATAAATACTTTTTAAATTTTTATTTTGTTAAAGTTACTATGACGTCTTTTGAATGCATAAAGATAGGCAAAATAATAAATTTCCATAGTTAATAATTAATTTAAAAGAACCCCAGTATGTTGTCTCTTTCTCTAACTTTTCTATGGGCTTAGAAAGTTGCCCTACCATGAGTCTTTTCTTTGAATGAAATTTTTTAAATAAAGTTGTGTTTACATTACTATAGTGAATGTTAATTTCCTCTCCTTTTTCTTTTTCACAATTTATCTGGATAAGTATAGAAATGGAAACCATTTAGAGTCCTTGACCATAGTAGTTCCCAACTTCTCCCATCTACTTATCACTGTCAAATCACATTCGATCAACTATTAGCATGTTATAGATTCTTATCAAGATCTCAACTCTTTTTGTCAATTCCAAGTTTATCAGTTGAAAAATAAAGTGCATTATGAATTTTATTCTTAAAAAATCTTCACTTTTCTTTAGCTGCTTGTCAACCCTTCATTGGTTGCCATGCAAACTTATATTTGATCTTATTGTAAGATTTTTTAAAAACAGTTTTATTATTAATTAATGATTTCAGAATACAGGTTAAAATATTTCTTAAATTTTTTTACTTTTATTTTTAAATTTACCTTTCTCCAATGAATATTGCACTGGAAAAAATTTTCAACAGTGATTTGGATATTGATTGAAACATAATTTGCACAGGATTGGGTAAGATAATATCCGACTGTGATTAATTACCCAAATCATCACATGAAGCTCATAAAATTAATGGCTTCGTTTGGTAGTGAGAATAAAAAGACATGTTAGAATAATTTATTCTACTTTATCTAGTTTTTAGTGTCCTACACAATAAAAAATGCACGCTCCTCTCTCTTTCTCTATATTCATAGAAACCACATGATTTTGACACGTAAGCATTGAAGTTAATAAAAAAACACTTTCACATCATGTGACGAATCAGCCGCCATGATCTAAAACAGTAAACCTTGTTGATGACACACGAAGCACAGAAGAATTAGCCGCCATCTACTCTGTTTTTGGTAAAAATTAATGTTTATCCAAATGGTTTGTGAAAGTGAATGTGTAGAACCACCTACTATTTTCTCTCTCTAGACTCTCCAAATCATTTTTTAAGGACAAATTTTAGATGTAAATTTTTAGTATTATTATTATTATTTAGTTAAATTTTATATTTTATATTGATAACTCAGTTATATTAATTACAATTTTTTATTATAGTAAAGTTTTAGTTTTAATTACAAAGCGATATTAACAAATTTTAAAATTATATTTAAATTTTATCTTTTATAAATCGCATACATTTTATTTGTTTCCCTAGGAAAAAATATGTAAAGATAAAAAATTTTAAAATTGAATTGAAATTAGAATAAGAGGAAAGACACATCAAATTTTTATCTGTGAAAGTTAAATTTTTTATTTTTATTCAATAAAATTATTATTACTTATGTTTTATTTTCATTTTATTTTCTTTATCTAAAAATTGTTAGAAAAAGGAAATTTGTTCATCTCGATTTTATAAACAGTAATATCATTTGGAGCATTGTTATTGTGAAAGTTGTCAAAGTAATCCATTCATATATTTTTATGATTTTCTTAATTTCAATCTTTATAATTAAATTTAAGTATTTAAAAATATTAATTTCGATTTTTTAAACGTGAATTCCGGTTGGAATTAATAAAATTATATTTTTTAAAATAAATTTCACGACTGAAAGAGACAAATCTTCCGAGGTACAAGTGAAAACATCCAGCGACTTAAAAGTGTACCCCCGCAGCCATTTTTGACCTCATAGCCCTATCTGTGTTCATAAGCAATTGTACCGTTTACTTGGGATAACAATAATAATAACACTTTTACATTCTATTTGTTTAAATTTATTTTTTATTTTAATATTATATTGCTTATTATTTTATTATTTTCCCTTTCTTGCACTCAAATCACATCCTTTATCAATAAAATGTCAACCTATTTGAGAATGCTAAACATAAACTTCAACACGCAAAAAAGCTTAGGTTAATGCCAATGTGCGCAGTAGAAACAGCTCCATTTCTTACGAACTTAAAATTTAATGAAACAACCAATTTCTTTATTAAAAAAACACCACTCTTAGAAAATTAAATTAATAAAAAGGATAATTAGTTCTTTAAAATAAAATAAATTAAACGTGCAAAAAGATAAAACAGATTGCAATAGCATGTGTAGGTATAGTTGATTATTTAATATAAAACCATCTCGTATGAACACTTCATAACATGATTCATGCTTGTATTAGATTTAGTTAACCAGATAAAGATTAGTATAATAATATTAAGCATGAACGGATAATATGGATTAAAGAATAAGAAAAGAATTTAACAAGTGGGTCCGGGTCAGTTCAGGATCCGGATATAGTTAAACCGGGGCTACCCACATGGTTTTAGGGTTGAAGCGGTCCACAAGCATAGAAAAACCGCTGCGAGAGAGAGTGTGAACACATGCCACGTAAGGTCAAAGGAGTCAACAGAGAGCTTCAGAGATGGACACGTGTGTGACTCTTGGGAAAGATTAGTGTCACGGGTGTGGTGGCATTTCCCTCACGCGCTTTTGAACTCTTTAACTGTTGCCATGTAACGTCACCCATGAGTCACGAAGCGTCACCTCGTCAAGTTTAACCCCACCTGTGGCGCGTGTGAACTCAGCATTATTTAATGCACCATCTTTATCCTCACTACTCCAACCTCTGACCAATTCTTTCTTGATAAGATTTCCTGATAGTTAATAATATTTATTTCAGGACAATTATTTACAAAGTATGATCATTCTCTTTTGTTAAGATGCTGTAAACCTAGATTACCCAATATTGGTTATATGCTTAAAATTTAATTTTACAATATCTAAAATTTGTCCTTTCATATGAAAAAAAATTAAAATATAGTGTTTTAAAGAAAAGTATAAAATTATAAAAAAATTTATTTATAATTAATTACATTTTTTACTTATTTTTTAATAAAAAATGTCATTAATAAATTTTAATTTTTATATATTTTTAAAATCATTATTAACGATTTTTGAAATTTCATAATTTTTATGAACTTTATGCTTTCATAATTTTTACAAAAATATCATATATATATATATAAGTTTTACAAACAAATCATATATATAAACCGTAAATTTTACATTTTTATATTATTTTTAAGAGTTAATTATGTTGCTTGTATAAGTTATCCATAGATTTGAGTTTGTAAAAACATCTTTCTTTAGCAATATATGGATACAAATTAAATGTGATCAATATTTCTACAGGAATAGAAATATACAGTATGTTAATATTTTAATGTTAATACAATTATATATTAGGATAATGTATTATATTAATTTAATTTTTTTATTAAAATAATTTATATTAACGATAAAATTGTGTTAAGTTAATATTTTTTGTAACTTAACTTACACGTTAATCAATTATCAAATCAGTCAAATGTTGATGGGATTATCTCACCATAATTCATTTGTTCCCTTGGCGTAGTCAGGCAAACAATGTAGTCCTCCATAGTAACGATAGATTACATGGACATTAGTTGAAATTTTAGTCTAGTTTATTCAGCTTTAAAGCCTTTGTTATTTGATAACTGCTTTTAAAGTTGAATCTTGGCATAAATTTTCATCCAAAATTTTTCACTTATTTATTACTTGTTACTTTTTTTTCCAAATTTTTTAAAAATAAAATTATAATCACAAATAAATATTAGATGACTTGCAAGAAAAGAACGTTTTTAAAATCACTATTATTTCTCAACAGTTATAAATTTATTATTATTAAATAATGATTTTTATTTCATATTTTATATAAATAAAAAAGAACGTACAGTATAAAAATTCACTACCTCGTATACAATCCCAATCATATTCCTCGCTGCGAGTCTAACCCAAACTCGGGTAAAACTTGATTAACGTTGTTTTCTTATCTTCCTGATAAAGAATGTATGCACTAATTTTCACTATGACAACAACATTTTTCTCTAAATAGTAATAAAAACTATTAAAAATGTAGCAAAATTCAACTACACAGATTATATATATTTTTCGATTAAATTTGTATAAAATTTAACAAATAATTAAACACTGTATTACCAACAATTATTATATTAACGGAGAGAGTGGAAGCACGACCCGCGTAGAGCTGAGAGTAGAAAAAGCGAGGAATGTTCTACGGCAAGTCCTAACGTGTGGTCGGCTCCGTTTGAATTCCGCGCCGTAACCACGTACTACTCAACGCATTAAAACACATTCACTCTCCACTCACGTTACCGTTACCTTCACCGTCGTTATCCAACCGGTTTTGGGTCACGCATAAAGAACTGCTGCTCTATATATAACATTGAAACACCCTTCCCACCTTCGTTCAAGCCGAAAAACATTAGAAAGAACAAAACAATTCTTAAAACGAAAAAAAAAAAAATCGAAACAAAAAATTCATAGCCTAGTTCGAACCAAGCTCAACTCTGAAGCTTTCTGAGGTAATTTTAATTAACTTTCTCATTGAAATGTTTTTTCTTCTTATGATTCTCGTTCCGCAGTGACTTGCCAATTGCCATGTAATTGAATATGAAATGAATGATATGCGAGTTTCCTTTCTCGACATTCTCGATAATCGAAAGCAATACGAGGTCGGTGGTTGTTTCAAATGAACATAGGTCTATGTATCTGTTTTCTCTGTTTTTTTTTTTTTTTTTTAATTTCGTGTTTGTATTGATTCTCAATGTTTCGGCTTTTGAGTGGCCATGATTTCAGCATCTTGCTTCTTTTCTTCTTTGATTGGATTGGTTTTTTATTTTACAAAATGATTACATAATGGGTTATTTTTTTTACTATTTTTTCATTGATATTTAACTTTTTTAAAAAATTCGTAGTACTTGTTTTGTTAGGATTGATTAATGGGATTTGAATTGGGAAAGTGATTCCTTGGCTTGGAACAATTTTATTTATTTATTTATTTTTTGCTTTCATGGGTAGAAAAAAGTTTATATGCTGTTTCTGTATGAAATATACCTACCGGCCAACGGAATTAGGAGCAAGTATAAAAGAACTAGAGATGATATTAATTGTCATAGAAGTTTCCTTTGAATTTAATGAGTCATGGGAGGATTTTCACTCGCTATGGATTTAATTTTTCCAGCTTCTTCAGCTTGGGTTTTCTAGTGTTGGTGCTTGTTTATTGTGTGTATGTGCTTTTGCTTCTCTACAAATTGCAGTTGTGCTAGAAGATTGGAATTGTTAACTTGTGATTGTGCTATTATTCAAAATATTCATTCGATCCTGTCGATATATATTGCAGGTTTATGTGCTTTTATTGAAACTGTTGGGATTTAAATCCTGAGCAAAATATTAAGAAATTTACCGAGGCTGGTACTTTTTGGTGTTTAGCAAGCTCGATTATTAAGATCTCCACTCACATAAAGCAGCTAATGCCATCATCATAGTATGGATTCGCAGCAGCTTTTCAGTTATGGTGTGACTAGTGCTGAATTACCTTACATGTCATCTTTTCCTACTATTCCATCTCTACCTAACAGGTTTCTCGGATCCTTGAAATTTGACTCAGGAAACTCACCTAATTCACCCTTTTCCACTCATTTTGATTCTGACACCCTTTCTGCATTGAGTGACAACCTGGAGCAACGCAGCCCTGGAGAGATCCTATCTGGTGTTAGCCCCTTTTGTAACTCTTTACTAGAAACCAACCATTATATGCATAGATCAATCTCATCTGTGGACAGTCTCAAAGACAGTTTCCCGCTATATTCTGCTAGGAACACTCTTCAACAGAATGCAAGTTGTAACCAAAAAATAAAACACGTTTTGCTGGAATTAGAAAGTGCTTTGATGGCCCCTGATGATGATGAAGTTACCACGCCAAATACGTTGGGTGAGAGCAATAGGCCGATGACTTCTGGCCGGAGATTCAGGTCTTGGAGCCATGAGCACCAGGGTTCACAATATACTCAGAATCAGCCATCATATGCTACCAGCAGTAGGCAATCAAGTGAAGTTGTACAGGCAGAAAAACGGCAAAAGTTGATGGAGGAATCATCACTACAAGGTCTCCCATCAAAGAATTTGAAGCAATTGCTGATTGCTTGTGCCAAAGCCTTGTCTGAAAACAACATGAAAGATTTTGATCAATTGGTAGGAAAGGCTAGAAATACTGTGTCTATCAATGGGGATCCAATTCAGAGGCTTGGTGCTTATATGGTAGAAGGGCTTGTTGCAAGGAAGGAAGCATCAGGGAATAGTATCTATCATGCCCTTAGATGCAGAGAGCCCGAAGGCATAGAATTACTCTCTTACATGCAATTGCTGTTTGAAATCTGCCCCTACTTAAAATTTGGTTACATGGCTGCCAATGGAGCCATTGCTGAAGCATGCAGAAATGAGGATCACATTCACATCATAGACTTTCAAATTGCTCAGGGCTCTCAATGGATGACTCTTCTTCAAGCTCTAGCAGCAAGGCCCGGTGGGGCACCCCGTGTGCGAATCACTGGGATCGATGATCCTGTTTCTAAATATGCTCGCGGTGGTGATGGACTAGAGGTAGTTGGGAAAAGGTTGGCCTTGATGTCTGAGAAATTTGGCATCCCAGTTGAGTTTCATGGAGTGCCAGTTTTTGCTCCTGATGTTAGAAGAGAAATGCTTGATATCAGGCCTGGAGAGGCTTTGGCTGTGAACTTTCCCTTGCAACTCCATCATACAGCTGATGAGAGTGTTGATGTGAATAATCCAAGGGATGGACTTCTAAGATTGGTAAAGTCACTTTCTCCCAAGGTGACGACACTGGTGGAGCAGGAATCAAACACAAACACAACTCCTTTCTTCAACAGGTTTATTGAAACCTTAGATTATTACTTGGCAATCTTTGAGTCTATTGATGTCACCCTCCCCAGAAATAGCAAGGACAGGATTAATGTGGAGCAACATTGTTTGGCCAGGGATATCGTGAATATTATTGCTTGTGAGGGCAAGGAAAGGGTAGAGAGACATGAACTGTTTGGCAAGTGGAAGTCAAGGTTAACAATGGCTGGCTTTCGTCAGTGCCCTTTGAGCTCTTATGTGAATTCTGTAATTAGAAGCCTTCTCAAGTGCTATTCAGAACATTACACATTAGTGGAGAAAGATGGAGCAATGTTGTTGGGGTGGAAGAACAGAAATTTGATATCAGCTTCAGCTTGGCATTGATAAAACATAGATAGGAAATGCTGTAGTGGTAGTAGAAATATCATGATAATGGAAGCCACATGGTATTGTAGCTGACTAAGGTTTATGTTGACTACAAGTGCAATGTATCCTTCATCATTGTTTCATAGGACTAAGTTACTTCTTAAGTTTGTCTATAAAGAGTTTCATGTACTAGTGATGTAGTATATTGATTCTTTTATAAAATGTTTATGGCAACTGTTTTGTTCTATAGATGTTGATCTTGTGCCTGATGGTACTTCTTCTTTCAGTATGAAATTGAATTATTGGAATCACAAAATTTTGAACTGACTAGCTTGTTAAATTCTAGTGGAATGCACTTCGTTGCATTCTTATCTTGTCTGATAAGATTACTTGTATAAGCTGGTTACAGTGATGTGATTTTCTATATAGCAAAATACAAGGTAATCTATTCACCAAAAAGATGAAGATGACCATTTTGCCAGCTTGGAAATGATGTGTTATCCATGTTGCTGTTGATAAGATTTCACAACTAATTTTTACTGTTTTTAACAATTGGCTTTATTTTTAGTTTTTCGGGATATGGTATTCTTTGTAAATTTTAAACGTTGTTTGGATTGGATAGGTAGGAACTTTCTTTGGATTGAAATTAAAGGTTGATGAAACGGTGGTTGCAGTTGTATTATAGTGTAGTTTATGATGTCTAATGGACAGACTATGATGAAGACTTGCAGGTGTCCTCTCCTAAAAGTCAAACATTAATTTATTATATACCAATATTTCCCAACCTCAAATGGGTTTGGCAGTGTTTATCTTTCAAGTGTCTTACTTCTTTTTCGGATTCCTGTAGAGTATCCTCCCAAGAATATTACATAAAGTATGGTACATAAAACTTCGCTATCTTTCTTCTGTTTTCTTTTCCTTTTGTTTAGCTTCGTTTATTGAAAAAAAAGGGGTAAAAGAATGGCTGCACAAAATTAAAGGTTGATGAAACGGTGGTTGCACATTAGTTCCTTCAATTACTTAGTTGGGTTGGCGATATTAGTTTATTTGAGATTAAAGTTAAACGGTTACGAGATTGCATCTTCTTAATCGTGATGTAAGAATCAGACAGTCCAACCGGCTTAGCTGCGATTAGTCATCTATAGCTCAATTTCATCATCGATTTTATGATGAAACCATTTTGATTTTAGGAATGCCATAGTAGTATTAAGCATCTTGGGTTTTTTTGAATGATTTTTTTATGACTACAAAAATGGAGTATAGTTGAGACAAAGCAGCACTGTTATACAAGTTCATAATTTCATGATATATGGGGATTAGGGAGTGGATCTTGGAAAGGGCCTTAGTCCAATGCAGAGGTCTAATTGAAGAATTGTGGATTGTGGCATCAATTTGGGCTTGCCTAAACTTATTTCGATTAGAATCTCAGCAATCAGGTCACTGTTCTTATACAATGTGAGAACACAGCATTCTTATAACTTCTCCCAAATGAATCTATTTATCCTAATTTTTTAATTTTTTGGGTAAAGATCGCAACGTATCCCATACTTGGAATCTATGTATTTGTTTGACAAAAAAAATCTATGTATTTGGGTATTGGTGGCTATGTATTTCAAGTAAGATCAGAATTCATACATATGTTCTTCATTTTGCTATCCCGTTTTATTTATTTATTTTGAACGGATTTTGCCATCTTTATTTTTGGTCAACAAAAGGTTGCAAGAGTTGGACCATCTGAATCACATGTTATGGTTTATTTTACCACGAAATTTAGGTTAGGTGGTAACCAGAAAAGGAAAGAAATTTAGATTAGGTATGCTATCTTACGTACTTTTAGTGTTGCTTTTCGTTGAAATTAAAATTTTATTTCAAGAATCCATGAAAATATTCCATGTGGGTTGTTTTTTTAAAATAAAAACTTAATTTTAATTAAAAATAATACAAAACATTTAAAAAACTGTACATAAATTTTGTCCTATATCATACCCACGTGAACCACCTCAGTTTGTTCGAATTTGATATCATTGAGATGCGTTGGACCTTGGATGAACCCCAACGGGATTTGTCCCATCAATTAACGTAACTTGTGTACTTAATCCTTGTTAATGAAGAGTTTAACCACCTAAAATCCATGAAAATATTCCATGTGGATTTTTTTAAAATAAAAACTTAATTTTAATTAAAAATAATACAAATCATTTAAAAAACTGTACATAAATTTTGTCCTATATCGTACCCCCGTGAACCACCTCAGATTGTTCGAATTTGATGTCATTGAGATACATTGGACCTTGGATGAACCCCAACAGGATTTGTCCCATCAATTAACGTAACTTATGTACTTAATCCTTGTTAATGAAGAGTTTAACCACCTAAATTTTCGTGTAAGAGTAGTCCTATTTGATAACCTATTTTATACAACAAAAGTCATTTAGCTAATGCCAATATCATGGCTGAAAATTAAAACACAACACAAGACAAATAATGAGTATACTATTCAAAAAGAGGGCTAGTGAAACGATAAACATTTATATTATTGATTCACTCTAACTTTACTTCCATATCACCAGTGAATTTTTTAACTTGATTGAATCAAGCAGGGTTACTTCACCATCACCAAACTGTGGAGTTTTAGATACTAATATATATATATATATATATAATTAAAATTTTTTTGTTAACAATAAACATATTATTTTGACAAATAATTTAATTTATGTACAAAACATTAATACATAATATTAGTATATAATCATAAAATTTAAATTAATTAATTTAATTTTTCTTAATTAAAAAATTATAGATACATTTCTTAAATTTTGTCCGATCAAGTGAAGAATATGTAAAATGGGACAAAGGGTGCGCCAATTAACTCGAATCTTAATTTATTACGTCAATTTCGGTTGCATATTTTATAACCTTTTACCACCATACATCTAATAACATATAGTTGTTCTCATTGAAAGAAAATTAAACCTTCAAACACCCAAAGAGCTAATCTTAGCTAAACAATTCTTGAAATTTCAAAGCCGTAGCACTCCCTGCATCTTAAGTAGGATAATTCTTAACATCTATTATTTACCATTCTCATCCTTTATCAGTTATTTCTTGCAAAATTAATTACGCAACCTTCTTAGCCTGTCAAATCAAATATCACTGCGATAACTTCATTCCATCTATACATTCCAAAGATAAGCTCTTCCATCGCCTGCTACTTTCATGCCCAACACCATCTTCCTACCCAACCCACCTTCCATGCCTGGTTTAAAATTACGTAAAATTATCTTTTATAGAATTAATTTCAAATTATTAAATTTAATTAAAAATATTTTTAAAGTATTTAGTTATAATTTTTTTATTTAAATTTGTGTCACGAATAAAGAAATTAATTTTCAATAGTGCTAAATAAACACATTATCTTTTAATGTCCAATAGTTAAATTTTGTTTCAATTATTATTATTTTTCTATCACATTACATTACTATCATATTTATAACTTATTTTTGTTCTTTTTACTATTCTCTAAGTATAGACATCGAATTTAGTGAGGTGGATCATCGAACGTTGATAAGTAAATTATCTCCCTCCCACTTAATTAATTTCCAATTTCTCTTTTAGCCAATTTCATCCATAAAATCAAGAGCTGAAATTATACTAGCTGGTGGCTAGAGAGAAAATTGCAGGGGAGGATCTAAATTAGTGTAAACATTTTAAGAGATGTTTACGAAACATTTTTCTTTAAAAATCTCATACACACGCACCACATGACCCAATTAATAATCCAATCGTTGACTTTTCCCATGCATCACGCATGACCATGAAAACACCTTCAATTCCCCGTTTAAACCCCATGCCACCAAATGCAACGTCCTTCACGAGCTTTGCCACGTGCGGGTTCCCCCCCCCCCCAACACACACAATTACACACGAGTGTCGAAGAATCATATGTGTAGTCCCAACACTCATATAAGACATGTCATAGCCCATAGCCGCATATCTCAATTCGCAAGAAGAAACATCTTAGAACACAAATTACGATGTCTCTTGCAGCTTCCGCACCTGTTGCTTCCACAAAACAAACAGTAGCTGACATCCCTCGACCTTGTGTAAAATTTCCTCCCAGCATTTGGGGTGATGCTTTCCTTCAATATGATTCACAATCATTGGTACTCCATTTATACTCATATATGCAACTTTTACGTACATGCGTTAATATAGTATTGTTACTCTGCTCGTATTTTTTGTGAAATTATTTTAATCTTGGATTAATATAGGTCCTGTATATGGAAGAGATTCACCATAGAAATAGGTAAAAACAATCCATAAGAAGCTCAGCCATTATATATATATATATATATATAAAGAGAGTACAAGTATTTAAATCCAACAGAAAAAGTTCATCCTTTGGCTGGTTCAACAAAATTGAAAACTTCAACAAGTTCATTCTCACTAATGTTTACCAACCCCTCTTGCTGCAATATCAAAGATCCCCTGTCAGCATTCAAAGGTACACCCTTTGAATTAGAGCAAAAATAGCAAAGCCAACAAAACAAGCCTGTAAAAGACAAAGATAAATGAAGGCACTGATTTTAATTGCTGTAATTACCGTTCTATTGCAGTGCAAGAAATAGAAATTTAGTATCCAGATAGATACATATTTTTTTATGTGTCTCAAGCAGCCTAATATATTTTATGAACATCCACTAGCTCCATCTCTCAATCGACAGAGTTTAAATACATTCTTGAATTAATTACATATAGTTTTCATACAGTGAGATTTTCTGTTTATCAAAATTACAAGATAGATCAATGTGGCTTTTCCTCACCAGAAGAACCATCACGATTCAGTGAAAAACAGTATGTGATTTGTACTTGCTTCCGACTAAAACCTTTTAGAGCTAAAATTCAGAGGTGGAGTGTTTACATATAGAACATCATCTATTGTTTGTTTATGGATTTATCTATTTTCTTCTTAGGATGGGAACTTTTCGTTTGATCTTTTTAATTTGCTTCCACTTTTCATGTTTGTGTTTTCTAATTTGACATAGCCTAAGGCAATTAACAAGACAAGAAATGCTCTAAAGGCATAGAAGTAGTCTTTTTGCATACTCATCATACTAAAAAATTCTTCTCACATACCCTGCAGATGTTGTAATCCTTTTAAGTATGTAAGAAAAAATTTGATTGAAAAACTCTCACCCATTTCTAGTAAAATTTTGTTTCAAACTAAAAACATATAATTCGTACTGTTACATCTTATCAGTCTTGGAGTATTCCCTTATATGGAATAAAATTATTTATAATTTATATATTAAAAAAATTAAATGCTATAAACATTTCATTTCTCACAAATAATTTCAGGAAGTCGATGACAATATGAAGCAACAAATGCAAATGCAAATGCAAAATGAAGAAGTGAAGAAGATGTTTCTATCTTCAAGCAATAATAATATCTTACAAAAGCTAAACTTCATTGACTCATTGCAACGTTTAGGTGTCTCTTATCATTTTCAACATGAAATTGATAAATCACTAAAGCAAATTCACAATACATTTACAAATGATAACTCCATCGAAGAAGAAAGTTGCCTTCACTGTCTTGCATTACTATTTCGTTTGCTTAGGCAAGGAGGATATCACATTTCATCAGGTATATGTAGAACTTTGCCTATGATTTTAACATTACCAAGAAAAACTACTAGCAGTTAATCATATTATATACGTTGATTCTTAAAAATCCCATTAAAGCATCATAGCTCATATGACTGGGGGGTGAATATTAACAGAAATATTTAACAAATTCAAGAACAACCAAGGAAACTTCAACGAAAAAGTTGCCAAAGATGTACAAGGAATGTGGAACTTGTTCGAAGCTGCACAACTAAGGGGTCATGGGGAAGATATACTCGATGAAGCACTTGATTTCACATACATTCACCTTAAATCCTTGATCAATCAGTTGAGCCCATCCCTCGCTGCGCAAGTAAGTCATTGCTTAAGTAAACCTCTTCACAAGGAAATTCCTAGGTTGAAGGCAAGGCGTTACATGCCCTTTTATGAAGATGATCCTTCACACAGCAAAGCTCTTCTCAACTTTGCAAAACTAGATTTCAATCTGCAGCAGAAATTGCATCAAAAAGAAGTATGCAATATCACCATGTAAGTACTACAAGTCTATGACCACAAACTGTTTTTCAGAATAAAAAGTTTAAGCATACATTCATATAAATACCTCCATTAAATATTTATTTAATAAATTTTTTATCAAATGAAAGTTTATGTTATAAATTTAATTATAAAATATTTTATATTAGATAAAAATAGTTTATTTTAATAGATCATGTTAAGGAATTTATTAAAATAAATTAAAATGATTATGAGTCATAAACTGTATATTTTCATAACTTTTTCAAACCGTCCTTAAATAGAACACATGAAGTCCAAGAGTCTTACAGTTTCATTTTAGTAAGAAGGTTTTTCTCGTACGAGATGTAGGATTATTCACCAGAATCAATGCTTCCTTTACTGTATTCATTTCTGGTCAATTTGTAATCCATTATCAATATGATATTATTTGTGTTGCAGGTGGTGGAAAAGATCAGACTTTGGAACAAAAGTCCCTTACGCTAGAAATAGGGTGGTTGAGGCTTACTTCTGGCCATTGGCCATGTCCTATGAACCTGAATATAGCGTTGCCAGAACAATAGTGGGAAAATTGGTTGGATGCATCTCTCTTCTAGATGATACATATGATGCCTATGGCACAGTTGAAGAACTTGAAGTCTTCACACAGGCAATCCAGAGGTTGATTTGAATCCAAAAGGATTGACCAATTTTATATTATATTATCATAATGGGAAAGTTAACAAGCTCAAATTCATAACATGATGACTGTTGTTGCCATTGTCCTTCTTCAATCTCATGATTGTTTTATTCTAAAATTTTGGTCCATAATTCTTGTTTTATATATTTGAATTTCAGATGGGATATTAGTTTCATTCAATCTCTTCCAGAGTGTATGAAAGTGGTATTTAGTGCAATTGTAGAACTATGGGATGAAATAGAGTTGGTTACTGCAGAGGGTGGAAAATCAAGCATTGTGTTGAACTGTATTAAAGAAGCAGTAGGCTTCCAATTCCTCTATTTTTAAACTGATTTGCATCATTCACTTGATTAGTTAGTTAATTAAATAATTAGTAATTTGGTTATTTGCAGTTTTCTGACTTGGCAAAAGCCTACTTCGTTGAAGCAAAATGGTGCCATGAGGGCTATATTCCCACATATGATGAGTACAAGGTTAATGGAGCTGTAAGTTCTACATGCCCACTTCAGATAGTAGCGTTTCTTCTTCTGGGAAAATTTTCAACCCAAGAGGTGATTGATTGGATTTTGTCCTATCCAAAAATCATTAAAGCTGTTTCAGTTATTGGCAGATTTGAGGATGACTTATCGTCACATAAGGTACTAATTTGTCTTTTCTCTTTGTTTGACTTTAATTTTGACCAATATACTAATACATTAATTCCTCGTGTTATAACCCTATTGTATGAGCTACTTTATCTTAATTCCATAAACATTGAAAATTACAGGAATGGCATATCTAACAATTTTTTTTTTCATTTGCTTTATTTATAGTTTGAACAACAAAGAGTGCATGTTGCTTCAGCAGTTGAATGTTGCATGAAGCAATATGAGATTTCACAAGAAGAGGCTTCTAAACTCATTCGCAAAGACATTGAAGATTTATGGAAGGTTATAAATGAAGAGTGCCTTGAGTCAAATCACATCCCAAGGCCCGTGCTTGAGTGTATTCTTAATTTGGGGCGTGTAACTGAGTTTACGTATGATAACTTCATGGATAAATACACAAATGCGGAACTACTGAAAGTTCATGTCGTGGATCCAATAAGCATCGAGCAACACGACTAGGACTCTAGGAGAAGCAGTTTCAGTTATAAGTAACTATGTTACACTGTTATTTTACATCTCTTGTGCTTGGTAGGAACACATGCAGGCAATTTCATGAGTAACTAATAATATTGTACTGCTTACTTCTGAAAAATCTATATTACCAGAGTATAGGATATGAGCTGTCATTTTTTTAAATTTGTCCGCATAGAATTGCAGCTGCCACTTGCATTTGAGAACCTAAATAAAAAAAAAGATTGAAACATGTAGGTGTGCAAGTTGGTATATATCCTAAATCAAGTGAAGTGCCTAATGTGTAAGATGTGACACATCGTTAGTCTGTATGTATAATAATCATCTATAGTTTTTCGTTTTTTCATGAAGTGGTAAGTGCCTTTAAAAAGAATAATGCTATATTTAGACTGAATAGAAAATATATAATAAAAAATATACGTAAAATCAAATAGAAAAGATGTGTTGTTTAAATGTATAAAAATAAAAAATTAAATAGCAAAATATCATTTTATTACCGACGGATGTTAGTCCGAGTAAAAAATGGTTCGGTATCGTTTAAGTAAAGTCTCGAATTCGAGATTTTATGTATGTAAAAAATCTTCATATCGTTTAAGTAAGATTTCAAGTTCGAGTTTTTATGTATGCAAAAAATTTTTAATGGTAGACTCACCTACACATCTCGAGTCAAATTCGGATTAAATCGGATGGTAAACCAAAAAAAAAAAAAATCACTCGTTAATAGCGACTTTTGACAATGTTTTGATACTTTTTAAATGTTTTTTTATTATTTTAAAAATTGTTACATGTGGCTTTTGCTTTTTTTTAATTTTTAATGTTTTTTTTAAACTTTATCACTTTTTCATTTTTTTATTTCTAAATTTTTTGTACTTATACAAAAAATTAACAGTTTTTAAATTTCATATTTCTGTAATTTTTAAAAAATATCATATTTCAGTATATATAATTTCTAAATACCATATATAAAAAACTAATTATAGTTTATATGAAAAATATTTTTATATTAACGATAAAAAAATTATTTTAACAAAAATTTTAATTTTATAGTTATATTTTTTATTAATTTATTTATTTTTTAATTCTTATATTATTTAATACAAATAAAATAAATATCACGTCCTTTTTCACACGAAATATATACTGTTTCATGTGAAAACAAAACTTATTATTATGTACTCATGCAATAAAACATTCAAACTCATAAAAATCCATACTTTTTCATTTTTAAATAATTTCCTTACTTTACAAACAAAACATAAGCAAAAAATCTCAATCATTACAAAAAATAAAAAATTACTCAATGACATTAAATATTTCCAAAATTATTAAATTCACCTATTTTAATAATTGAATTTTAAATAATTTTATTTAAATAAATAAATTTTAAAATTACACTGATATGGTAAAGAAACCAATCGTTAACTTTTGAATAAAGAAATAATTTCTTAATTAGAATCTTTATCTCCGGTTTTTCGTTGTCAAATCACTCGCTGAAGCCTATCACTTTAGACTTGAGAGATGAGAGTGGACATTTCAATTTCTTAAACGAAAAATCTGTGACATAAAAATACTACAAGTTGGTGGCATCGGCGGCGGCCACCAAGCATGTGAAGGAGCAGGAGAGGTGCTTCTGTTCAATCCATGTTGCCTTATTTTCTTGTTACTTGTAATTAATTAAGATTGCATACTCTATGCAAATACATTTAGGACACCTTGGTTTAAGTAAATTTTATAGTGAAATTTAATTTAACACATGTTTCAAAACATATTTAGTGAAACTGAAAATTTTCAATTTTAAGAAATAGAATTAATATAAACATAGTTTTAATGTGCATTTAGTTAATTTAATTAAGTTTATTAAATAGGAGTTTAATTGTGAATGAAGGTCGCTTGGTTTATGTGTCTAGAGTCTTACAATTTTTATGGCCTAATGTATATACAGGAATAGATTCAATAATATTAAATATTAAACTTAGTAAAATAGTACATTTAATATCTTTATTAATCTTTAAAATATAAAAGTTAAAATAGTACTCAAAATATTAAATTTTATTATAAAGATACATTTTTTTTTATATGTATGTATAATTTATAATATTAAAATTAAAACAGTTTATTTGCTTTTAAATAAGTGTTGAAAGATTGTATAATTTTGTTGTTTTATAAAGAGAAAAATATTTTATCTTAAACTTGATTATGCAAATTTAGTATATATTTTTATTATAAAGCAGATTGTGAATACCAAAATTTTGATTTAAAAATTTTTAATTTAAAAAAGAATTTGAATTTTAATATTACAAAAGAGGAATAGAAACAAAGAGTTTTAAAAAAAAATAAAAATTTGTTTTAATAAAATAGAAAAAATTCAGAATTAATTCTAAAAAAAAATAAAAAAATAATTAAACTTTTAAACTAATATTATTTTATACATAAAAAGGAAAATTTTTAGATTTTTGGCATTTTATGAAAATCTTAACAATAAAATAGGAGAGAAACCATGAAAAAGGTTTTGAGAATTTTGAGGGGAAGAAGAAAAATAAAAAACTTCGACTCACGGAAGCATTGAGGAAAGCTGATTAATAGCAAAGGTATGGAGTATCTTTTCCTTATTTCACATTAATTTTGTTAGCTGTGTTAATTTGCAGTATTTCACTCATTCATAGATGCACATCACTATCTAACTTGAATAGTGCCTAAGATCTGGTCACCTAATGGACATCATTGAACCAATGCTTTTGTAATATATCATTTTGCAACGTTATGCCCATTTTTGCTAAAACTAATAGTTGGTGACCATTTGCTACTTTGCTTTCAGAATAAAATAAATCCAAGTGTGCTCTGTTAGCAATCATATATTCCCTTTAACTAGTGTTTTAGCAATTATAAATGATTTTATAACATATAATTTCTATTCGCCCCAAATGGTTACCTAAATGCTACAGTATTTGTTTTTCCTTATTACTTTCTTAGGTCTCATCCAACTAACAATTTGTAGTTTTTCATTTAAGACCATAAACTTTATTCTTTACAAAATACAAATAATAATATAGGATAGAATTAGAAGTCTTGCTGTAATTTATGTAAAATTTTACTAGTTTTATTTTATTATTCATACATCTTGTTGTTAATTAGTGTGCTTATTTTTATTATTATTGTTCTTTTTTATGTTAATTTATTTTTTGCATCTTAATCTTTATTTATGATATCTAGCATTATTATTCTTTATTATATTGTATAATTTTAAATATTTAATGATAAACTAATTGCATTTTTAATTAAATGTTAAATAAAAAAATAATAATACAACTGCATCAATTTATGATACTAACGTATAGTTTCTCTATCATAATGTATTATAAATTGATAAAGTCTACGTGTACCTACGTTAACAAGACTTTATGCAATATTAATTTATCATATGTTGTCTTTAATTAATTAACTAACATTTTTAATAATCAATCAAAATGTATTCCCTATAGTCATTATTTATTAATCAATTAATTTAAATAAAAATTATTTTATTAACACAATAATTTATAATGTTAATGTGTAACGACTCTACCTTTACACGTTATAAGTTGTTGGGACCTATGTCTACCAATGTTACCTTAGATTCTATATAACATAAATTTAACAAAAGAAGTTTTAATTTTTTTTATTAAATTCTTTTTCCAATCAATTTAAATATATTTATTCTTTTCATTAAATAAAATTAATTTCATATTTTAAATTTTCTTAAGTCATATTTCTAATTTTGATAAATTAAATAACCAATCATATCTTCATTTTTATTATACAATTTTTTGCAACATCGATGTGTGATTTACGTCGCCTTCGATGTTCAACAAATTATAAGAGATTTATGTATAGCTTACGCTATCTTAAATTTTCTTTCAACATCAATCATAATCAAAAATAAAATTCAAATAATTTGTTTACGAATAAAATATTTTTAACGATTTGCAATATAGTTGTATGATCTTCCTTTACCTTCTATATTATTTCTAATAGAGTACATGTATAACCGCATTATCTTGTATCCTAAACATTATAATTTTATGGAAATAATTTTGATTTCAAATTAAATTTTCTTTTACTAAACTTAATTCTAATTAACTAACTTCGTAATTTTTAGATAGAACTAAGTGATTTTGAGTTCTTTATTGCACTCGAGGATACGTAGGAGCGGAACCAGACTCGTCAAGTCAAAATAATTTTTAAAATAATTTTTTAAGGTATCTATTAACATTTTAATCAATAATTTGTCATCTTTTAAAATAATAATAATAATTATTATTATTATTATTTAGGGGTTAAATAAATATTTTTCAAAATTAAAATAAATTTGCACAATTAATTTAAAGTAAAATTTTTTAAACGGATGTTGTAGGGTGCTAATATTTTTCTCACACGTAAATGACAAATGAACTCATTTTTAGTTTCAAAAATCATTATTTTTAAGTTTTTTCAAGGTTTTCTTAAAATAAAATTTAGTGGTGACTCCTCTGATTTTTTTTTCAAAAAACATTTTTTATTCCTAAAAAATATTTTTCCTTAAACACGTTCTTTGCCGTACCTTTATGACCGTCCGGTTGAGACATAGATAAAAAATAAATATTAATTATTTTTATAAAAAATATATTCTACATTATTAAATAAGATTTATACTTTTTATCTAGCTAAGATTCTAAATTACTTTAAATTAGTCCTGTTTTAAAATTTATTGAAATTTTTTCTCAAAAGGTCTTTTTTTCACTTTACGTTTTTCTTATTAGTGTTTTTCGCTCTCTTAAAACTATGTATTTTCAATAGCTATTTTGAACTATAATTCTCTGATTTGTAGAGATTTAAAAGTTTAGAGTTATTTTTTATGATAATATTCAGTGATAAAAATAAAAAATGCTTATAAATTTTAAAAATTAGTTTATAAAAAATATTACTATAAGTAATATTTAACTTATTAGAAACTGATTTCTAATATTTTTTTG